CACGTAATTTGTCTCGCAATATGTGCCGGAACATCATTTCCACTTCCACTGTCTGTGGATTGGTCTACTAGAGCCGCCCAGGTCGAGTTGTCGGAGTTCTGCCCTAAGCGTTGCACATTTAGCTGGATGACCCCGGAATCGTACGGATACAAGCATTTTTTCATGTCTCTCGGATGTTGGAAATCATGCATGATGTAGGAAAGAAGAAAAGTTGAGCAAGATCAGGCAGCGGAAACCGTCGCCTCCTGCTAGTCTGTCGTGTCGCCTTGCCCAAACTTTAAAAGTGCGGTCGCGCTGGCTTACCCGAGGCGGCAGTTTTACCGTCACCTAGATAACTTCAGTTTCATATTCTACCACTTACACCAGAAACACGTAGGATGAAGTTGACTTTGAACATAAAGGAGTTGACTCGTCGATCCGACGTTCGAATAAGCCAATTTTCTGCGGCTGAACTTAACAGTGCATATTGTAGAAAATCAGACTATTCAAACTTGAACATCTGGCTGAGAATATACGACGCTGGTATCTTACGGAAACATGCTTGTTTGATGTATCGAAAATTATACAGTACTTCGAAGTATTGTGGCTTGTTTGTATCGAAACGGTGGCTGTGCAAGTCGGTTTCAGGATCTGTAATTTTCTCACACAGAAATACGGGCAAGGTGTATCAATTCCGGGCCGAGGCAGCCATGATGAAGCTCGATAATTACCCAGATATATCAGCCTACAGGAAAACAGTTAATCAAGTTTTTGGGTGATTGCAGGTTTTTGGACTCCTGACGGATTACCTCACTTCATACTGAGTACGAACTGTTAGTGTTCAACCAGAGACGTTCAATCTTTATAAAAATATCCGTTTGCTGGCAATGGTAGTCATTTCGGTTCGACGCTAAGCTCCCAGGGTCGAGAGTCGACCAATACTGACGGGTTAGACTGAGGGCCTTTTAGCCGTCCGCTTTATAAATAAGCTTAATATTCAGGCACTTAACAGATATGGCTTCGTTTGGTCTTGGCGCTCAGAAGAAGCACCTTGCATTTAGATTTCTTCCACTTAAACCAACTGGTTAACGATACCATGCAGGCTCCTCCCGCTCAGCTTCGGCTGGTGGATTATTCTCTGTAATGCTTGAAGAGGACCGAATTGCTAATGTATGGCGAAGAATCGTCTTTGGATTTTGGTGGCACCCAAGGTTCCTTGCTGTACTATTGTCGTTTATCGGAAAAATGAAGAGAAATGATATCGGTGACGAAAGTCCACTGGAGTGGGGAGGGAGGTCGAGAAAACCCTTCCGTTTGTAAGTATAAAACTTCGTTAGGAAACCAGATCGGAGGGAGGTCCATCCATGTCCGGATTTGGCAAAAGGTCTCTGCAGCTGCGATGGCCAGCGGCGCAAGCCTTGTGTTGGCATCTGGTTCTTGCAACAAGGGCGGTAAAACTTCATATAACAAAAGCCGCTGATCTTCAGCAATCAGTAAGGATGTTGTGAAGTTTCGATATAAAGCCCAGGATCCGAAAACTGGGAGACATATCAGTCCACATTTGGAGGCTTGTTGAGATGGTTACCTCCTCAAAGCAAGCTTTTCTCAGCACGCCGTATTTCTCCTTGTCTGCAAGGTAAGGAGCCGTTTTGGTTACCAGCTGTTGCTCTTGGTCAGAAAAGAGATATATCAGATCGAAATAACGGAAACTAAGATTAAATCCAAATTGGGCCATACTTTCACCATGCCTCACTAGCTCTCACCTAGCGGAAACATCGACGTGTCAAGAAAATCGAGAAGGATATAGCACAGGTAAGAGCCCTTACAAAACCTCTCGAGATCGCTGCAGCTCTATGGTCTGCCCTTAACATCACAAGTGATGCACTTCAGTGCCAGTTATCTTTCCGAACTTGAACAATTGCTCACAATTCTTGTCCTCCATGACCAACGTCGCGCTTGTCTTCTGATTAGATATTACTGCTGGTGAAAAGAATCATTCGGCCGGAATTCAATCACAACAGGGCCTCCGAATTGACGCACAACACAGAGGTTTTCACGCATGCGTAGCCGTTCGCTCAACAGTCGTGTTCCTATGTCACAGAATCAAGAGCATCCCCGTTCAACCCCTGCAAAATAAATGTCAGCCATGGCCTCAGTCAACTTTTCGTACTGGGATCTAACCCCCTTGCCCACGATGACGTTGGAATTCATGACCGGACCTGCTGGGGTTCTGATTGACCAAGTGCTGATGACACCCAGTTTAGATTAGTATCAGCGGAAGACAATCGACGACAAAGCCCTGCTAATTTTGAAGCGTGATTTTTCGGTAGCTTTGTGAGCCTCCGGGGGGACGCAGACGCTCCGCTGCGCGGCCTGAGAAGTGGTGATACTGATCAACTTGGCCTTGCAAAGGGGGAAAACAATGACAATCTAATGTACGATCAGTTGATGCGAATCAAGGAGTGAATTAAGACCGAGCTTACAGTGTTTGATTTTGTAATGATGGATAGCAGGGATATGATAAAACTATTATTCTGGGAGGAGTGGTTCGATATATATCTATTTTGGGGTGACATCACTTGAGAGAGAAATGTTAGAAAAGTGGGGGATTCCTGGGAGTTCGCCTTACCTCTGAAAGTAAATGGTTGGCTGAAACAAAACACTCTATAAGCCCCAGGAGTACAGTATTGCAATGCACTGTGGTAGTCTAGCAGGCTCCTGGGAGCGCATGGCGGGCCACCAACTCCATTCAGCAATGACGAAAAAAATATTTGACATTATACGCTCAGGAAGGGCTTCAGATATGTGCTCTCATTGGAAAGAAGTGACGAACTAATCCGTCTTCGTTGCCTGCTGAACATGAATTCCTCCAGTTTGTCTTGTTACAGGGCAAGATTGTAGACCAAGTAGATTCGCCCACTGGCCATCGCCCTAGCAGAGGTCCAAAGCCCGAATGCGCATTGTGGGGCAAATCAATTAAATGATCCTGGGAGCAAAGCCAGAAATGGGAGACCGACAGGTCTAGAGCGAACGGTCATATTGACGACGCCAGTCTTTTTCTGATGGGACGATGCGGGTGATCTAGAGAAAAGTTACACGTGATGTAACTAGCGTGTTGCATTTTATTGATGTAGCTTACTCAGCCGCTCATGCCTACGCTCAGGTCATGCTCAGTGAGCGAATCAGGGCACTCAGATGATGATCAGTGAGTGGATCCGGGTGCTCAGGTGATTATCAGGTGACACTCAGTGAGCAGGTCAGAGCGCTTATGTAATGCTCAGTGAGCGGATCAGGGCGCTCAGGGACGTGCTCAGATTTACTCAGTGAGCAAAAAGCGGCAAGGCCTGAGCACTAATACGGAAAGAGAACGCCAAGAAGTGGCAGAGGAAATCAAGTACATAGGTTTAACAAATAGTATCTGCTTATCCAACTTATTTGATGTGACTGACCCACTTAGCTAAGATCGACGTTATCGTAAATGCCTTATACACTTAGCTTCTAAGATACTAGTAGCCCGGTATATCAACAAAATAGCATATAATATCAAGGATATATATATAACACTACTCTGCCCTTTTAGAATCTATAATTGAATTTCCTCTTATATTTGACTATTTTAACTGCTAGCCCTCGAAATTTGAAACACCTATTATGTCTACCCTAAAGCCTACTAGAAAAACCGCTATTGCAGTATTCGGGGGCAGTGGCGACTACTGCTTTCTCTAAAATTACAAGCTTCTCTACAAAGGTCACGAAGAGGCAAATGTTCACTTCTCTGTTAAAAGTATAAAGACCGAGCACGGTCTTATAGTGAATTACGCTAAATAAGAATATATTGAAGAGAGACACTAGGTTCACGGAGTCGAATACGGGACGCATTTTATATTTATCGAGTTCGCTACTTAGGATGACGCTATAAAAGCGATGTAGGACGGCTTTCCCCTTGCATTTGCGTCAATCATCTTCGCCACCTTATAACGTGAAGACCCCTAGGAGGCGAGAATATGTTTCCTAAAATTCTAAGCTATTTTGGAGGCTGCGTCACCTCAAGGATACGGGGAGCACACTATATGGATTGTGAACGAAGATTTGGTTCGTGATGTCAAAGTGGATGATAAAGATCGACGCTACAGATATCTTAAGAGCCAATTTCGAACCGATCGTTTCTATCTCATTAAAATGCCTGCTGTTAAGAAGTGGGAACAGGCAGACATCTTCAAGAGCGAATAGTACTCTGATCTCTATAGGTATCGGAATATGATTCTCACCGGGGCGCCGGATCTCAGTTTAGAGAAAGAGTCTCATTGGAAATTCGAGGAAGAGGGAGCCGGCTAGGACTCAAAGTTCCGCACGGAAATCTTTGTACTTCCAGAAGATAAAGGTGGTGCTACTATTGCTGACGGGGATCGCCTAACGTTCACCGATAGTCCAAACGATGTTGAGGGAACCTTAAGTGCCTTTTATAAACCCCGAACAACCGTTTCACCGGAAAGAGTCGAGACAATGTCGGTTAAAATTGATCAACACCCGAAATACCTCCAATACTTAGGCAGCCGCTTCGCGGTGAAGCAGGACGGCAAGCTTGTTGCGTTGGGGATTATACGGGTATGGGGAAGGTGATTGGAGTGTAACAGGCCAGAGCCCGGCAGCAAACCATGTGCCATGGCGGTACAGATCGCGTTGATGAGATGACAGTGGAAGGACACCGCCTACCGCCCTCGGGTCGGTGTCACCGAGCCCTAGTACGTAGTCTCATATGTGCAGACTTCAGTTTTAGGCTACATGTCAACAGGCTTCAGCCACGGTTCTTTTAATCGCCTGTGATTCAAGTCTTTAGCCCACTATCCTTGATAGCCTTGTGACAATGAGCACAGGCCCGATTTGGCCTTCGATTCTCTCGAGCCGTGAGACTAGTTTCATGAAACCTTTATTGTCATACTAGAACAAATTTAATGTTATACGCCAATAATCTCAGATTAACCTATCACTCTCATCTGATTCCGCCATCCGATGCTACACGATTATGAACTTTTCAGTCTCTTCGACCGACGCAGCGAAGTCTTGACGCGGGCGGGTTGTCCCTTTGCCCGCTTTTTTATTTCCGGCTGCTCTTCCGAGTGGTCGCGATGTAGAGATGAGCGCGTCGTATACTGTCGATGGGGCCCTGGTTCGGAACTTGCCGCCTTTGCAGCTCGCTTCGCCAAATTTTGCCTTGTAGCAATCTCCGTTGAGCATGGGCCGCTTTTTGTAACCCCAGAACCAACTGAAGACATGAGAGTATCAGTACCTGGTTGGTTCGACGGGGGCTCCGTGTTGACAGTATGGGGTTCTAGCAAGCGTGGGTCGATATTCGTTATCTCAAAGCCGACAGAGGAGGCTGGAGTCTCAGTCCTTGATCGAGCTTCAGATTTCGAAGATACCTCTGAGCTGTCAACGGATGTAATGGCGCGGCAAACAGGCCGTGACTCTTCTAGGAGATGGCAAAGTTTGATATTGACATCATATGTGTGCACTTTGGCGGCATGGGCCAGAAACTCAGTGACTTTGGCGAACTTTGGCACATGGCTGCAGGTTGCCCAAGTGCAGCTGATGCCGTCGTGCACATAAAGGAAATGGGCGTCGATGAGATGACGGCGAAGAGAATCTTTTCGCCTGGCTGGAAATTTATGCGGAGGAGGATTCGATGCTGAGCGACGAGATTCACCACAGCAGATGATGCAAACATCAGTTGGACATTGTCGAGCATCCTCTTCAAAGGACGCTAGTTGTTCGGACTGTTCAATAGGTCTATTTCCCTCCTCATCGAGATCCCAATTAACTCGGTTGCCTCGCCTACTCGGTTCGCAAAGCTGTAGAAGTGCAACCATGTCCTTGGTAACCTGGATGCGTCGAGTAAGTAATTTGTCCTCGTCAAAATCTTCTGCCTGAGGACCGTAAAAGTTCTCCACAAGCCGAGCTCGTTCAGGAAATACGTAGTCCGGGATAGGGAGCTCCCAGTCTTCTTCAGCGGAACTATCAGCATCGCGTTCCTCAGCATGAGATTCGCCGAGAAGCATTTGCTTGATCTATCGGTCAACTTCAAGCACGGGAGCATTATTAAAATAGTCCTTTCTGGCTGTCTCGAGAGTTTCGATCGCCAATGTCTTCCGAAGTTTGGCCAGGTCTTTTTTGACATTCTTATGCCTTTAGAAGAGGTGTGGAAAGGTGTCACGGGCGTTCTTGATTGTGCCAGCCACCGACCGCATCTCCGCCATAAGCTCTCTTTTCTCGCGTCTTAGTTGCAGAATTTCAGGGTTTTGGCAAATAGCACGTTTATGAGCTTCGGTAAGATCAGATAGTGCCGATAAATCTCTCTTCCTAAGCATGCTCCTAGCGAAGCTTACCAGACCTTCTTAGGAGGGCCGAAGAAGGACGACATGCTGAAGGTCGCGCGCAATAAATTGTGATTAGTAATGCTTTTCAAACACCGCGTCACCAGACTGCCCGAGCACCCTTTGTCGCTCCTGGCTGGTAAAATTTTCTGCGAGTAGATAGTCAGCTCCGTTGCGAGTGCTCCCATCAATCATGGCGAAAATGAATCCATCATATCGTGTTTAGTAAGTGACATACTGTTGACTTCATTTGCCGTCTAGCGGCGGTAATTGTAATGCCCAATATCATCTTCAAATCTAGTATGTCGACCTAACTCCTTAAGCGCCTGCCGACTTGAATCATAGGTCATTAGCAAAGACCTATCGAGTCTGTAGCCGTATAGAGTACGTTGAAGACGTCGAAGGATAGGCACATTAAGAATCTCGGGCTTCTACCGGAGGGGAAAAGATAAACTGCCTCTTAGAACTCGTAGCCGCCAAATGATCTCTAGTGTGAGGTCGTCATTGGCAAAAGCTCTATCGCGGAAAGCGAACGCAATAATCTGAGCTATCGGGCAATATGCTAGTTGATAATCGCCGTGTATAAAGAATTTAGTTCTGTTAGCAAGGTTTAGTATCGAAGTTGGTTTATAAGAAGTTCGAATCAAAATTTCTGCTTACCTATCAGCGCCTTCCGGTCGACCTTTGAGATTGCGAAACTCGATGATAGCGTAGAGGACATCACGTTTACTTTGAAGGTCTTTTAGGCAGAAAAGTTCGATATCGCGATAGTAGACCGAGTCCGGAAGATCTTTCAAGGAAATGTGCTTTGGAAGATCACTCTAAAAGGTGTTATCCCGTTTGCGTTTGCCTAAAACTAGATTGCTAGGCGACGAAGTGTCTTGAGGAAGCAAGACGCTAGGTCGCGTGCCTATAATAGCGGACTAGAGCTAGACTATAGCGAACTAAACAATCATGCTCCCGTGACGAAAGAATCTCGAATAGACCTAGTGATACCGGTAAATCACACCAAAAGCATCTATATCTAGAGTATTTTTGTCCTTTGTTCGTCGGGGAATTTTACATTCGGCTAGGAATACACCTTCGAGAAACTTTTCTAAGGTAAGCATACTCTATTTAGGAACAGATAGGATATAACTTACTCGTCGTTATTGACGGGCATTCTCACCGACGCGGCGACGGGCGAATAGCTCGAAGTATTGACAAAGGCGTCGCTAGTATTTATCATATGACTAAAGCAGTTTCTTTCGTGATGTTTTGAACATCCAATCAAAAAAGTTCATGTAGATCGTCTGATCCTCTAAAAGAAGAAAGTCCACATAATCCTTATTCGATTAAATGCAATATCTATTCCCGTGTTATTCTCAGTCATAAGACTTTTCCCAGCCAAGTGAGCACTCACTTTCGCCAATAACGTTCGACGACAGCGATGCCTTCTAAGGTCTTTGGCTTAAAGTTTGGAGGGAGCTATCTAAGACTACGAAAATGTTCTAGTCTAGCTCGAGTTTCCTCGCAAAGAATGGGATCGGTCTAGTATTGGTGCTCATCAGTTTGAGCCGGATGTACAGGCGTAGGTGCCATAGAGGAGGTTAGATGCAAAGACCAAGGTGGAAAGTTCGTGGTATGGGAAACGACAACGTCAAGGTCGGCTTAAGGCGTGGGCAACGAGGATGAGAGAATAGGAGGTGCAACGACACCAGAAGGGAGGGAAGACGAAGCATCTTATAGGCGCTCAACTAGACTGGGCGAAAAGGAAGGGGACTTAGATTTGGCTGGAGGGGAGCCATTTTCGGCGTCGTTTTGGTCGCCAGTGGAAACGAGGGGAACATAGCACAGTGGGCACCCAGCTCAGCGGGACCCGTGAACGGGACCTGCCAGGACCCGATGAGGTGGCAGAGCTGAACGGGACCCGTCATTAGTCATCATTTTCACAGGTCCCGTTGAACTTTTCACGGGTCCCGCTGAGCTGGAACCCGACTGTGCTAGTCGAGCGTCAACATCAGGACCGGAGGATGACTAACAGTGCTAGGTGGGTGCAGAATAGTGGTGTTCAGGGGCAGTGGGCGGTCAAGGGGCGGCTGGACAGCCAAAGTTACGGGTGGAAAGTGTTGGTTATTAAGTGATGCTTCAGTGTTCATGTTATTGAGGGGAGTTGATTGTGTGTTGTGTTGCATGTTGTCTAAGATACAAGTAGGCTGGTGAATAGGTATATATGTATGCACGTGATCCCAGCCTCATTATCTCAGCAACCGGGATATTTCAACACTCCCACTCGCTAATCTCCTTCGTCAGAAGGATATCAGCGATTTTTCATCTCGGTTGCCAAGCCCCATTAAAACCTCCCAAAACCAGTGGTAAAAAGGAAGGAAAGGGTGCCTGCATGCCCGGTTTTTCTTTTTCCTTTTTGGTATGAAGGCTCGTGTCTGACCGGGCTATTATTCAATGCCGAGGCCTTTTCGAAACCATTCAAATCTATCTCGTGCAAGGGGCTTCGTGAAGCCATCCGCTATCTGTTCTGACGTTGGGATATACCTGAGTTCCACTGTCTTGGCGTCTTGGACTTCTCCTTGCCACTTTCGCTGGATTTCCATATGCTTTGTACGCGAATGATATTGAGGGTTTGAGGCCAGCGCAATGGCTCCCTGGTTGTCGCCGCAGATGATCGTTGCGCGTTTTCCCTGGCCCATGTTCAGCTCGTGGAGGAGTCTTCTCAGCCAGATGGCTTCCTTGGTTGCTTGCGTCTGGCCCATGAATTCGGCCTCGCAGGTTGACAGGGCAACAATGTTCTGGCGTTTTGATTGCCAGCCGATTGCTCCACTTCCAATGTTGAAAAGATATCCTGCCGTCGACCGTCTTGTCTGGTGACACCCAGCCCAATCTGCATCCGTGAAGCCACGGAGCATCTGGAGCTGACCTTTATACGCAAGACTGAGGGATTTGGTGCCTTTGAGATATCGAAGGATTCGGCGGGCGAGCTTCATATGTTGTGGACCAGGATTTGCCAAGTGTCTGCTTGCCGCCGAGACAGCGTATGCGATATCGCCTCTAGTCCCAAGCATGATATACATCAGCGATCCGATCACACGCTGGTACTCGTTTTTTACATTCGACGGGCAGATGTATTCAGGACCGCTTTCTGGTAGAGGTGAAGTGTCTATAGGCGTGCTGACTTGTGCACAGTCTAACATTCCGAATTGTTGAAGGACTTTGTGCACGTAAGCCTCTTGGCTGAGATAGAGGATTCTGTTCTGCCGGTCTCGCCGGATGGTCATGCCGAGGTAGTAACTGCAGGGGCCAAGATCTGTCATATGAAAACGATTTCTGAGGCTCCTCTTGATCTTCTTTATCTCTGCAATGCTTGGTCCGATGATCAAGAGGTCGTCCACGTATACTGCAATGTACATGCTGCTCCGAACAAAGATACTGAGATCGGCGTTGATGGGCTCGAAGCCAAGATCCCGAAGGAAATTGGTAAGCGTCTGATACCAGATGCGAGGTGCTTGCTTCAGACCGTAGAGTGCCTTTCGAAGCTTGCAGACCCTCGATGTGCCGTCTGTAGTGTGATGCGGCTGTTCAACATAGATCTCATGGTCTACCTCGCCGTATAAGAACGCTGTTTTGACATCCATCTGTTCGATCTCGAGATCCAGGGCTGCGGCAATTGCGAACAGGGCTTTGTAACTCATTGGTTTGCCCACGGAAGCAAATGTCTGATCATAATCGACACCTTCTTCTTGGGTGAAACCTCTGACTACCCATCTGCACTTGTAGTGAACGATTTCTCCGCCTGGTCCTCGTTTGAGCTTGAAGATCCACTTCCCGCTCAGGACTCGGCGATCCTTGGGAGGGTCAACCATTTCCCAAGTTTTGTTTTGTTTGAGTGATTGTAACTCTTCACCCATTCCCTTTTCCCATTCAAGCCAGCGTGGATCGCTCTTGGCCTGTCGAAGGGACTTTGGTTCGAAGGGTTCTATCTCTTCCGCTGCTACGGTCAGGAAGGTCGGAATGACATTCTCGTCAGGGATATTCATCAATATGAGTTCTTCTTGGTCATCACCAGGTGTGTCTTGAAACGTTTGTGTGTCACGGAGCTTGAGTTCTGGGTGGCGTTCCAGTGAGGCTTGTTGCACTATGTGTTTTGCGCCACCCTCCCGTAGCTCGGAACAATCTAGCCAATCTGGGATTCGCCCTTGCTGAGCATCGCCTTGTTGCTGGTCGCTACCGGGTGGTGAGTCAATCCTAAGGACGGAATCCTGTGAAGCAGGTGATAAGGGTCCGAAGGTATCGTCACTCCGTGTAGGCGAAAAGGTTATATCTCCTTGTCCAGCAACGGCGGGCTGCGAGTTATTATCACTCGACTGAGGCAGATGCACTTGCACTATGTCGTCCCTTGATCTAGGCTGTATTTGCCCTTGTGGCGCCAGGGAGGTTTGACGTCCCGAGGCTGGCACGGATGCATGTCGCATACTGGCCGACGGTTGGTTTATTAGTCCCACCGTCTCACTCCCCCCTGCGGCAGCAGCCGTTGCCACAGGAAAGCTCTGCTGTTTGGCTCCCACGTCTTCTCTGGTCTGCGTGGAAGGAGTGTTGAGGACTTCATGAAATTCTGCATTTGGCGTACCAATGATTCTGCCGTCTTCTAGCAGGATGCGATAGTTTGTATTTCCTTCGTATCCCAGCAGTAGACATGGCCTTGTTCTTGGTCCCGTTAACTTCTTTCTCTGTTTGGGTGGGATTAGATACTCTCCCTTGGATCCTATGACTCTCAGCCGTGACAGGTCAGGCTTGTCACCATACCAAGCTTGATACGGAGTCATGTTGCGTTTGGATGATGGTGATCGTTTCGAGAGGAAGGCCGCAGTCCGCGCAATCTCCGACCAGAATTTGGGCGGTAGTTTCGCATGCGCGAGCGTTGGTCCTACTCGATCGTAAATTGTCCTGTGGGCTCTTTCAGCTACCCCATTCTGCTGGTGCTGGTCGACGCCCGTGACTTCGGCTTGGATTGCCCTTGAGAAGAGGGTAAATTTCATTTCTTCTCCCACTTGTTCCGGGATCCGGTCAAGACGAATTCGCCTGCATTTACGCTCAGGGCGTTCATTGTGGTCGAGGAAGTACCGTAAGGACTCAATGACGTATTCTTGCCGTCGTGGTATGGGGACGATCTCAACCCATCCAGTATGGTCGTCAACGATGGTTAGCCAGTAACGACTGCCATCAAGGCCCTCCTCAAATGGTCCTGCAACATCGATATGCAGGAGCTCCATGGCGTATTTGGCTCTTTTGCCTGCTTCTGAACGGCGATGTGGGGTTTCAATCATTCTTCCCTGGAGGCATGGGTTGCAAGGTTGGCGTGGCGTATCATCCCGAATGCCGTGAGCTTGCTTTTTGAGTCGTTGTATATTCGCACCGCTCATGTGAGCGAGCCTATTGTGCCAGAGTGCCGATTGCGGGCTGACATGGTAGGCTGGAAAAGCAGGTTTGGCCCATAAGTCGAGTGCGTAGACTCCATGATATTGGCTCGCGGTGAACAGATTTTTCCCATCTGATTTATTTCGAATAATGGCGCTATTGCTTGAGAAATCGATCTTTGCTCCTCGATTGAGAAGTTGCAGCACAGATATGAGATTCGCATGTGCAGTTGGGACGAACAGAACGTCATCTAATACAAGCCATTTCTTTCTTCCTCGTACATTGCACAGGACATTTACAATTCCTATACCGGAAGGGGCCGTTGAGGTATCGACGCTTCTCAACGGGGGGCCATCATACTTGTCCATCTTCACGAATCTCGAGGCATTGTTACAGACGTGCTGAGCACACCCACTATCCACGATCCAAGCGTCACGGATTGAGAGGGTTTTGTGGCCATCATACTGGGAATGTGGCCAAAAGTGGCCACGTTTCCTTCAACTTCGGCTCTGAATGCTGCATTGATATCTTGTTTTGAGACTTGTGTCGCCATGAACGTCGGTCTTTTGGGGTCTCTCGGTCCTTCTGATTCGTCGTCTTCATGGTCCGTACTGGCCCGCCTCTTAGATGGCTTACGAAAGTCCTTGTGTGCATCGTTGGGTCTTGGCCTGCGTGTTTTTCTCTCCTTTTCTTGGTCCCTCAGGTTGGGATTCTTCTCGAAACATTGAGGCTCCCTATGATAGGGGTTTCGACAGAAAATACAGAAAGGGACATTGTTGATCTCGATCCGGCATGTTTTCCCATCTGAAGACGGTGTGACTTTCTTGTCTCTAAGGCTTCGGCTGAGTGTGAAGGCAGGAAGTGCATTCGCATCTGCGGGTTGGTTGCTCAGCTGGCCTTTCCTATGCTCCTCTTCAATGGCCTTGTTCTCAATGTAGTCAAATGTAGGGGCCGCTTTGGTGATATGTCCGTTTTCGTCTCTATCATTGACAATGTCCATTTGCCTGAAGATATGGTCGCGGAAGCTCTCATATTCCGGACCTAAGGCATGCAGGAAGAAGAAGGTTCGTTCAATCTCAGATGTGACACATGCTGGGTCGAGTAATAGTTTCTCCGCATGGATCTTTCTGATCTCGGCCCCGAGGGCTTGTGCACTCCCACATTTTGCTCGG